CAAGAAATACATGGATACGCGCAAAACTTTCCTGTCATTTTTTTTTATTCAATTATCTGTTAAACGTTTTACAGATTGTGATCACACAAGTATCAGACATTAAAATTTTTTAAAATAGAGGAGAGAATCTTCTTTTTTACGGCTATTTCTTGATACACTTCGTTCCATGGACCATATGTGAGATCTATAATTTCTTGAGCACGATTGAGATATCGCCGTGTTTTTTTCAACACGTTTCTGTAACAAAATATATAATGTACTGTGATAAACGATGCAATTATTGTTTAGAATCTGAATGATAAAAATTCCATGCTTACTTATAAAATTTTGATGATGTATTAGATTCTTCTTGCAAATATTGCAGACATATATCTGTTAACTTGTTTAATTCATTACAGACTTCTGCGCTCGAAGAACCATATTTTTCTTCGACTGCCACAATACTGTGTTCAAGATACGAAATAGAATTCAACCATTGTCCTAAAAGTAAAAAAAAAAGCGAAAAACTTTTATTAAAATAATCAATATGTTATGTGAAAGGAGTAACAGTTCTGTGCAGAAAGAATCGATTTGTAATCAATCTTGGCTTCCGAATTTCAGATTCGATCCTAAGACCCCATATTTCAGTTTATTGCATCAAGAAAATAAATTAAATATGAATAAAAAAATTGTGACCAGTTTCGGAAACAATTAGCTAAATACATATATTTTATTCTTTCAAAAAAAAAACTCATTTATTCTTTTCTTTAACAAAAAAGCATTAATACAAACCCATAATAGCATATACTTTTGCCAAAAGATCCATTGTGGCAGCAATGTCTTCATGATATTTATATAATGCTTCTTTTCTAAGAAATAGACATTCTTTTAAGCTAATTATTGCGTCTTCGTATTCTTCATTCTCTATATTAAATTCTGCTTTGGTAAAATGAAATTGTGCTCGACTCAGTGTATGATTATAAATATTATTGTAGACTGTTGCTCCACAATCTATACAGTACAAAGAAGAGTGGCAATTATCACTCAATGGTCCGCTACATTCAGGACATTTCATCGCAGTAAATTTTTTCTAGAAAAGAAAAACAAGTTGATGTATACACACACGCACACGCACATACATTCACGTATAGAAAAATTATACAATATACAAAAGTGATTACTAAATGAATTACCAAAATATCTTCATACTCTTCATATTCTGGTTTTGTGCATGCTGCACAATCACACTTAAAGCAATATTGACTTTCCATCTTTTCTTGTCTGTCTCTTCTCAACATTCTTCTATAGTCAGCCCCTGTTGAGTAACATTAAAAATAAGATAAGATTGAAGTATTATAAATCGAAAAATGTAATTATTAATTCAGTATTAATTTTTAATATACCATAACAATTAAAAACTTCTTCACCCGCTGCAATATCTCGTGTGGCTTTGGTTATTAAAGTCCCTCCTAAAAAACTAAAAAATAATAATGTTAATATTATTTGAATAATTTATATAGAAATCTTTATCTCCTATATATATTTATATAAGTAATGAGAGCAACTGTCTCACTTCTCATATAATCAAAATATCTATATATTACCTATTAATTATATTAGGATCACAAGAATGATTCATCATACTTGCAGAAGGATAAATCGCTGTAGCTATTCTGTCTTCTTGTTGAATTAGGAGTTTATTTTTATTTTTATCTGCTACCGCGTTTAACTTTGTGATAGCATGCCCATTAGAAATAAGTTGTAATATATGCCTCAATAACAGAGAACTTACATACAATCGTTCATTGTCTTCTGTCGCGAGATCACAGTTAAAATTATTAGAGAATTTTGATATTGGACATTCTTTAAAATTGACAACTTTAAAAAAATCGGTATACTTTGATAAATATATCATAAGCATAATTGCTGTCTGAAAAATAATAAAAAATGATAAGATAAAACTTAATATTATATACAAATTCTCTATATATGCATTTATATTTTTGCTTCTTTCAGAAAAATTATAACTTACCACTCCATACGAAATAACATCGCATGGTGGAAGTTTAGAAAAATTAGTTACTAACTCTTGCACTTCATCAAGTCTATTATCATCATTTGTTGTATACTTAAACAACATTCTTACAGCCAAATATGCTATTCCAATCTGTGGCCACAGACTCATTTGATTGCCAGGACATTCCCAACGATGATAAGATGAACATGCTTCATTCCAACAATCAATATTGCAATACATACTGTTGACACATTCTGTACACCTATAATTTAATGTGTATATGTGTGTGTGCGTGCGTGCGTATGCGTTTGTGTGTACACACACACACACACACACACACATACACACACACATATATATACACACATATACATATAATCAAAAACAAAAAAAACAGAACTCACGGTATAGGAGTATCACCAAATGAGCGACAGCAATGATAACAAATATCAGTTTGAACATGACTTAATGGGACAAAGGCAAATGCCTTTTCAACGAATAGAATCTGACCCCTTTTAATATCTCTATTAGCTACAACATATCTCCCTTTTTCTGGAGTTTGTTTTAATTCTATAGCTGTCGATGCAGATCGAAAGTGAGGATTTTCACCATATGTGACTTCAGGCTGTGAAGGAAATTCTGTAGTATTTGTAGTATCTGTATCATTTACATTATCTTTCATACGTGATATCCTTGATGTTATTTCATTCATTTGCCTCTGTAACCGTTCTAAAAGTTTCATAAAAAATATGACAAATGTCTAAAGAAGTCTTTTCTTCAATTTCTAAATTAAATGCATGACATAGATACTTGCCTTTCTTTTCATTTGACATATTAGGCTGACTTATCATTATATTATGCATTTGTAAAAGGGTTTCAACAGCTGATTTTTTATTACCTAATCTCAGGTAACAGTGAGCTGCACGTAAATTTAACTTATATCGTAAATCCTCAGGATAGCCTAATTTGATCGCCAATTCAATATCATTGAGGCAATCCTTTTATTAGGGAAAATTAATAAGTTATAGTCACACATAGAATAGAATTTTTAAATTAAAAAAATAATGATAGAAAAAGTTATATTGTAACATTGTAATCAATTCCTATTAATTCTACCATTTACCTGCCATCTGTCCAAATGAATTAGAGAGGCAGATCTATTTGCAATCGCTATTGACAATTCTATACTATTTGATGGAGCATACTGTGCACTTTTCGTATACAACTGCAGAGACGAGACATAATTCTTTGAGTGAAATTCTTGGTTCCCAGTTTTTTTGAACATAATTGATATATCCATATTCTTCCGTTGTTTCTTATTATCTTTCATATTGTAGAGCTCTTTCAGCCATAAAGAAGACAAGTTTCTGTGTTACAATTAAAAATATCAGTGTAAATTACACATTAATCGAAATGGCTAAGGAATTCAATATAAGTCAGGAATATGTTCAAAGCAAAATGTAACAAGTAAGCAAATACTTAGCAAGCAGG